GTGTGTGTGTGTGTGTGTGTGTGTGTGTGTGTGTGTGTGTGTGTGTGAGTGTGTGTGTATGCGTGTGTATGTTTAAATGCGTGTGCGTGCGTGTGTGCGTGTGTGTGTGCGTGTCCGCCCACGAGCAGTGCCGTCACCCTGAACGTGAAGGGCACCGGTCACTTGAACGTGATCGGCCGTTCATTTGGTGTTTTTTTTGTGAACGGCCGTTCACGGTGAACGGGCAGACCATGAAGGAGTGTTGTTTTCTTTTCTTTCTTTTTTTCTTTTTCTTTTTTAAGGTCTCACCCAACAAAGGTCACCTCAAGCCCCACAGCGTGATGACATTGAAAACAAAAAAAAAAATTGAAATGACCTATAAAATAATTTATGTAAATCCTTATTTTGGCTGGTTGATTTTTTTTTTTCGTTTTTAATTAAAAAAAAAAATTATTTGTGAAAAACAAAAAATGAAAAAATTATGGGAGTTACCCTTCAATGACCCCCACCCTCCTATAAAAAATAAAACACCCCCCCCAGCCAAAAAAAAAAAAAACGATCCCGCTCTCGGTGAATTCCATGAACTCCCATGTCGTGAACTCCGTGAACTCCATGACTGGTTTCCATTCACAGACCCCGTGAACGGTGAACGGGGGTACGGCACTGCCCACGAGCCAATGCCCCAGCTGCAGCGTTTCGCCGGCGAATGCAAGTGCCCGCATGCCTTCACTGGCGCCCGGCCCTTTCCCGTACGGAAAGTGGTGAGCGCTTTGCCTTGCCCCGTCACTTGAGACCGAGTTTCCAGTAGCTTCAGTTTCAGCCAAAGTGTCTGCACCCAGGCCCATTCAGACAGTAGCCTGGGACCCAATTGGCTATAGGCATGCCCAACCACCCAGGCACGAACGTGCAATGTCCCCTGCTTTGGCCCCTGCTTTGGCCACGTGGAGAATGGTCTGTGGCGCGGACGTAATTAACTGGCGAGTGGCAACTGTATGGCACCCACCGAGATTTGCAAAAATTTACGGTGGGTATCAGACAGTTGTAGCATGCCAGTTGGTTGAAATGCCCCCCTTCACTTAGGGCAGGCACTTATGTGGGTATCAGACAGTTGTAGCATGCCAGTTGGTTGAAATGCAACCTGGGCCTCTGTCTGGGCTCTTTCCAGAGACAGCAGCTGCGCCAAGGAGTTGAGCCCAGGACTCAGGTGATTGCTCGTAGGGCGCACACAGTTTGAGGCAGACTCACCACGAAGTGGCTGCGGCTATGTGACACCTGCATAGGCCACAGGCAATTCGGCCGCCACGGCCAAAAAAGTCGGCCGCAGTGGCGGCGGCGGCCCAATTTTTTGGATATTTTTTTGGGGGTCAAAAATTTAGCGGAAAACATAAAATAAAATATGGAGATGCAGGGTTTTGAAAGGGGATAATTGATAGAAGGCGCCCACGCGAAAACCTTTTTGGTTTTGGCCGCCCAAAGTTCAGCTGTTTGGTACTAGCGTCGCAATGTCTTCCATCTGGGGTACTACAGGCCCACGCTTCGCTCCAAGGGTCCTACAGAATCATGATCTGGCGAATAAACAGCATCAGATTCATTTTCATGTAGAAGAGGCCGAGGGTGATACCGCCGAAGGATAGAATGAGGCCCACGTACCGTACATTGAAAAAAAAGGGCCGTACCAGTTCATGAATCTGGCTCAAAACGACGGCCAAATTCATCAACCGGTAAGTGCCGGCCAAGGGAGCTGTGGCCACGGCGCGAAGGCGCCTTGCACCCAGGCTAACGACTTTCGGGCCTTTAGTACAGAAGGGCCGTGGGCGGCCAAAACCGAAAAGGTTTTGGCGTGGGCTCTTTCTACCAATTATCCCTTTTGAAAGCCCTACAGCCCCACATTTGTTTTTTTTTTATTTGACTTCATTTACGATTTGTAAAAAATGAAAAACGAAAATCAGAGGGAAAAATCAACATAAATCAAAGAAAAGCAGGAATATTTTTTTTCATTTTTTTCATGATTGATATGGAGTTGCTTTTTCTTCTTCTTCTTCCTCTTCTTCTTCTTCTTCTTCTTCTTCTTCTGTGCTGTTTGATTGTTTGATTGATTGATTAGAAGAAGAAAAAAAATTGAACGCGTTACTTTGTGTGTGTGCTTGTGTGCATGTGTGTGTTTGTGAGAGGGCGTGTGTGTGTGCGTATGTGCGTGTGAGTGTGCATGTGCATGTGTGTGTGCGTGCGTGTGTGTGCACGTGTGTTTGTGCGTGTGTGATGTCTGACGTGTGTGTGTGTGTTTGTGTGTGCCCGTGTGTGTGTGCCCCTGTGTGTGTGACTGTGTGATGTGTGTGTGTGTGTGTGACGTGTGTGTGTGGAATTTAGGTGCATTTATGCTCTCTGCTTGCCAACTGACTACCTGGACTTCTGCGTGATTTTGCAACCCGGTTTCTGTTCATCGCTCTTGCTCATATTCCTCGCAATTGTACTAAGCCTAGGGAAAGTAGGTGGTTTGTCAGAACAACCGCATTTTGAGTGGGTAGGATGGGTTGTTCCCCGTCAGCTAGCCTAGTAGGTCCCATGCCCGAGCAGCACCAAGTAGGTGAGGGGTTCAAAACCTGATAGACATGGTGGATTCATTGCAGTAAGTGTAGGGACATGGTGGTTTGGCACCGCACCTGCTTTTTGAGCGGGTAGGGTGGGCGTATCCCGTCAGCTAGCTTAGTAGCTCCCATGCCTGAAATGCATCGAGTCGGTGCTTGGTTCAAAACCTGCTGCTGATGGCCGACCTCAGTACGACACCTGCCAGTTGGCTAGAGAAAGTTGCGCCACACTGACCGATAGTGATGCGGGAGTATATCCTTCGTAGAGAGATCTGGGGAAGTCTGATGTCACTTGGATAGGCCTAAGGATGGCCAGGGCCAGAACAACGCTGGGCTGTTGCCCGGTATGGGTAGGGCCACCCTGCCACCCACAGCTAGGCCGGAGAATGAGGCCCAGTAGAGGGATCTGGGGACATGGCTGTGTATAGGAATGCCTGTTTTTGTTCTACTGCAGCGGCAGAGTCTGGAAAATTACAGCGTACTGCTAGACTCTCCACAGTCCAGTCGAACATCCGGCCGCCCCCCACCGCCGCACGTAGTCACAGCTAGCAAGTATTGAGTGGGCCATGGATGCCACGAGAAAAAGACAGCCTAAACGAGAAATAAAGCCCACAGAGGAATCACACTTCAACGATAAATGAGCCACCTACAATGTGCTTGATTTCAGGGTAGGCCATGTGCATTCCCTGCACCTGGCTGTCCCTTCGTCGCGATGCAGTGCGTTTAGAGTGGCCCGCCCGTGCCACTATGGACACACCCACACCCACACCCACACCCACACACACACACACACGCGCGCGCGCGCGCGAAGAGAGAGAGAGAGAGAGGAGAGAGAGAGAGAGAGAGAGAGAGAGGGAGAGAGAAGCAAACAGAGGTACAAAGGCCAGTAGCAATGCAGTGTAAGAGAGAGAGAGAGAGAGAGAGAGAGGGAGAGAGGGAGAGAGAAGCAAACAGAGGTACAAAGGCCAGTAGCAATGCAGTGTAACGAGTGCCAAAATAAGAAGCAGACACCCCTAATCCGAAAAGGACACCATTTGTCAAGATCATGTGCAAGTCAATCGGCAACTTTGTGCGACGTTGGAAAGCGGTTTCCAGAGCCGCAACTCCCGACCAGGAGACCAGTCCGGGAGACTCGAGAGGACCAGAGGTAGACCTACACGCTGACAGTTTAGAAGACAAGTTCCCCTTCTCCAACTACAATACCGTCTTCACCCGAATAGAACGCCCGCACATTATGCCTGCATTTCGAGCAACTTTCACACTTAGTCCAGTTACAGTGACAGTGACCGGGCGTTCAGTTCGGGTGAAGAAGGTAGTTACCGACAGCAGCAGGACCATGGTTAAAAGGACACCGATTTCGATTCCATGTTTCGCTTTTTCTTTTTGTTCCCGAAACCATGATACGAATCAAACAAACTGTAACGAATATTCCGGGAAATCGAGAGGCACAACAAGCCTGTCCTCTGGGATATCGTTCAGATTGGAACGATACATTCAGATAACCATCATGAAATCGTTCAGAAGCCGTCTTCTGTTTCATGTTTCGATTCTTCTTTTTTCTTTTCCCCTGTGGCAATGAGAAGCAACATAAATAAAAACTGCAACAAATGTTCATTGAGATCGATAAGCACAGAGCCAGTCACGAGAACAATGGCTATTCATTAGAGGAATGAGAACAATAAATAACGACCCACTCACAACAACAATGACATCAATGACAATCAGAAAGCACAAAGGTTTACGCCAGTGACGACACCAATGACGACAATAACCAATAAAGAGAATGAGAAGGTGAACTCATCATTCAGATGACCAGCATCATGGCAGCATGAGATCCAGTATGGAGACAATTGGAAATAATGAAAAGCATAAACAAATAAACAAATGACGACAATAACTAACAAAGAGAACGAGAAGATTAACTCATCATTCAGATGAAATCCAATATGAACACATTGGAAATAAAGAAGAATAAATAAACAAACAAATGACGACAATGACGAACAAAGAGAATGAGAAGATGAACTCATCATTCAGATGACCAGCATCATGGCAGCATGAAATCCAACATGGACACAGATTGGAAATAATGAGAAGAATAAAAGAATAAACAAATTAGTGATGTGCAAGCAATTAACCAACTAGTGTTTTTCCCATGACTCGATGAAGACCAATCCATACAGCGATAAGTTTCCACCTTCCGAATTTGGAAAGCTGTCCCAAGCTTCAGAACGAAAAGGATAAGTTTCAAGACGATTGGCCAAATATACAGACACAGACACGTTGCTCCGATTTGAGCCGCCTCGCCTTAATCATCGTGCCAGCGTTAGGCGAAGTCCGCGCATGTGCGGAACCACCTCGTCTGGAATCTCGTCACGAAGAAAAGACGCCTCTCCTTAATTGTCGTGCCAGCTGACGTCCCCCGACTCCAGACGAAACCATGTGGAGACGAGTCTTGAACTGCCTCTACTCGCGACGCACTTCACCTTCTCAGCTCACGACCTCAGTGCTCAGTAGTTATGGCCTCACATTTTGCTTGAAAATGGATGGAAGGCTGTCTATGATCGGAAACTGGCATACAAGCGGGAAACAGGACTCCACTTGAGTTTTCACACACTACTTAAATGCGATTACAGATTCTAAGCTTCCATATAACGTTTGAAGTGTGCTGAAATGAGATCACTAAATCACCACACAAAGAGAGAGGTACAGACACACAGACAGACAAGGTGGGGGGGACGGACAGACAGACACAGACAATCGCAGACACAAAGACGCAAGCCGCACAGAGAGAGAAAGAAAGAGAGAGAAAGAGAGAGAGAGACAGAGACAGATAGGGAGGGAGCGAGGACACACAGAGAATAACTAATGTTCCACGGTGGTTTGAACAAGCGCACCGGATCTTCAACGTCATTTTTCAGACGATACGCATACATAACATGGGAAATGCATGATGCATGTAAACTAGCGAACTTCGTCGTGACCAATAACTAACTGCATTAAGGTGACCGTAGCAACCCGATAGCCCGTAATTAACCTACCAGCTACCGACTTCTTCTGCACGGGATTAGTTCTTTCTACAGCATCTTGAGTCCAGCGGACTGATACCCCAATCCGGACTCACCCGTTAGCAGCATATCAACGCGGTCATCCGCTCCGTCCATCTCTGCCCGATCACAACGACTGCCTACAATAGACGCTGCCTCCCGCTTGGCCCTCGAGAACCCGGTGTCCACATCAGCACTTCTTCCAGATGCAGGCGAACTTCAGCTGGAACTTGGTGTCGGAAGAATCGAGACCGATGACGGCCTTCTTTCCCTCCACTCGCACGACCGACTTGATGTTCAGGTTGGGGGCGCTGTTGCACTGGCTGTAGACGAACGTGAGGAACTTGTCAGTGAACTCGAAGTTGCCCTCTTGCTTGCCGTAGATGGTGCGCCTCACCGTCGGCGTCCCAGTTTGGCCGGAGAAGTAGAACTGCGTCTCGTACACGCCCTTGGAGCCCTTTCCGATGCTCGCGAACCCGCGGCCAGTGACTTGTCCGAGCGTGAAGCTCCAGCCATTCGGGTAGTCCAAATAGAACGAGAGCTGGCAGAACTTGCGCCTTCCCGCCAAGCCTGAATCAGTGGTCGCGACCAACCCGCCGAAGATGAAAGTGACGGTCTGGTAGTTGTTAGAGAAGGCATAGTTGCTGTCACTCCAACTACAACCAGTGCCAGCGAACGTCAGCCCTCTGATCGACACCTTCGGGGGTGCTCCTCCTGCACTAGCAGAAGAGGCAGCGCTCAGGACCGTCGCCACAAACAAAGCCGCCATCATCGCCATCACTGGAGACATGTACCGTGCCGCCATCGTCCCCGTCAGCAGCTTCCAATGCAGTTCGATTGGGGATCTCCCGTTTGGTCTTCGTACGTCGCCGCTGAAGGTGCGGGAAGTCGCTCGATCAGGAACAGGCGATGTCGTCAGCAGCGTCGTGCACGTCACCGACCGGTCGTTTGAGGCCCAACATAAGAGACACTGAGACTCCCTCTACGTCGCTTCTTCCCCGATACACGCTTCGTTGAACGCACCACCGTGACACGAGAGTTTCACCAGCCAGTGCGAGAACCTTTTGTCACGGCACACTGGAAACTCTTAGATGTACTTACGACGAGGCCGAGGATTTATAAGTATATGCACTTATTCGACGAGTGACTTCCGCACTGGACTACTTTTCTAGTATTCCCCTACGGTCGGTCAGCCGTTGCATTTTTGATCACTGATTCCCCGGGTACAGCTGACGATCAACGTTCTGAATGAACATGTCCGCTACAGAGGACTTCTTCAACCTCTTTGTGGACATAATTGCGGTAAAGTTGAACCAGTCCTGGTCGGAAAAGCGTCCATATTCATTCAGGAAAAAGTACTAGTAGTCTTTTTTTTTTTTTTTTTTTTTTTTTTTTTTTKTCGTGTTCCAAAATRAAGYTGCTGACAKTMAKYTTCTTTCCTCCTCTTTTCCCTTCCCCCCATAGCGTTCCTATCCCCGTACTTTTTTTTTCTTTTTTTTTTTTACAAGGGACTGAATCTAGCGTTCCTACCTCATTCCCGTCCATATTCATTCAGGAACGTTGATCCTATGCAACGCGATCACATTGGCAACAGTGATCATTAATGCTCGGAAAGCGAGTATGATGCCCTCACAGAGCATACTGACGCCTGCAAGGCTGCAACGCTGATGCAGGACCCTCTGCCGGGGCCAAGTCCCACTAGCAGCGTTGAGCTACCTCAACGCCTGAATCTGGACGTGTTTGTGGAGACGTGCAGTTCAGGAAACTCAACACCATTTCTGCACATCTCCCCAAATGCGTCCTGATTCGGGCGTTGAGGTAGCTCAACGCTGCTAGTGGGACTTGGCCCCCGAATGGGAATGCAACTTCTCGTTGAAAAATTTTTTTTCCCCCTCAAAATTCAACATCAAATTACTCCATACTCAGGGCACGCTCACACTAGGTACCAAATCCCCGTTTCCCCAAAAAAAAAGGGTTCCCGGACAGTCACACATGCTGAACATCTGCCCAAATTCTCAAAAGCGGTGACCATTCGTCAGCGGCCTGCGAAGCCGCGGGGGGAGGAAATTTGCGGTGACCTCTGGAGGTTACCGCAAATTCTCAAATTTTTTTCTGAATTATCTTGCATTATTGGAAAAAAATGGAACCCCACGATATTAGCGGCCTATCAATTGACTAAAACGAATTTTGGGAAAATGGGGGCACGCGCGGAGCGGTCAGACGTGCGTGTCCCTTTTTTTGATGCAAACGGCCAGCAGTCAAGACCCCCCCCCAAAAAAAAGGAAAAAAGCAGATTATAAAAAACGAAAAATTGCATTTCCCTTTTGGGTATCCAGCGTGTGACCGGCGTCCTGCACAAGCACCTCGAAGAGCACGATGTAGCGACCTTGTCTTTAGCGTTTTGGGAACGCAGTGTGACCGGCCAGGGCCGCATTTCCTCAAAACGGCCGTTCCCATTTTCCCATATTTTGGGAATTTGGGTACCTAGTGTGAGCGTGCCCTCATTCGGAGGCCGGGTCCTCCACAATACGTCTGATTTTTGTTGCATTTCGTTATTTTCTTTCTTTTTTTTTCAATTTTTGAAAGGGCGAGGGCGTTGAGGTACATCATGGTGCGTTTCCCAAAAAAAAAAAAAAACATCATGGTGCGCACTGCGTAGTGGCGTCGGATACTGCACTGGGGCGAGGTCCCACTAGCAACGGGATAGGATAGAAACGTGTTTGTGGGGCAGTTGAGTGACCCAAATCCTGCCGTGCACTACCGGTGATCCCACCGTCAGTATTTTACATGTATTACCCGAAAAAATAAGGAGATCTTCGTTCCCCTCCTCCTCTCCTTAACACTGGGCATGCCCGTGCAAAGACAGCTTCCCGCCAGAATCTTTTCAATCGGTTGGGGCTGTGGCCAACCCCAAACGAGGTTGGGGCCGGCCTTAGCCCACTGGATAGAAGATTTTCAGCATTTTACTTGCTGTTGTGCAATTATCTCATTGGGTGGAGCCCTCCTTCAATCACGGAGTATATGGAGGGTGTCAGGATCACTGCTGTCAGAAGTCGAGTTTATTCCAGAAAATGTGGCGGTTACTTTGTTCTCTGTTTTTGCAACCACCACCATCAGATCATTCGTGATCTGATGGCTGGGAAGCACACTGCTGTGAATTCCGGTGGGAGGTCTCTGTTTCTTCTTTTCTTTTTGGCCTTTTTCCTGTTTTCTCAGCCCAGAAATTCGTAATAAACTTGGCACACTGGATCGGACACACTCCTATCCGACTGCTAATGGGACCTCGCCCCTGGATATCGGCCGTCCTTTCCGAAAAAAATAAAATAATAAAATAAAAATATTAGCCGTGCTCGGGACATCAGGGGCGTGGTCCCACTAGCAAAGACGATCGGATCGAATGCCTGAATATGGACGTAATTGTGGAGAGGTGCAGGAAAATCGGAGATTGAACTGCTTTTTCTGGTCCGATTGTAGCTCAACGCCCTCGCCCTTTCAAAATTTGAGAAAGAAAGAAAATAACGAAATGCCAGCGGACAGAGGTGCAGAATCTGGATGTGTTTTTTTTTTTTTCTTGCAGAATCTGGATGTGTTTTCTCCAGAGGTGCAGAAAAGCAGTTCAATCGCCAATTTCCTGCACCTCTCCACAATAAAATCCAGATTCAGGCATTCGATCCGATCCTCTTTGCTGGTGGGACCACTCCCCTGATGTCCCGATGACAGCTAATACTTTTATTTTTATTTTTATTTGTTTTTGGGAAAGGACGGCCGACATCATGTGTACTATCCAATGCCGTTACGCACCACGATGCACCTCTGCCAGCGGACGGGGCGCCTCCGAGTCAGCAGTTGCATTCCCTTCCGACAGGGGCCCGCAGTGAAGTTGCTGGCGTCAGAAGCGACTGCGAGGGCATGATCACAAATTGGACTTCTTCTTCAACCTTTCTGTGGACGGAAATGCGGTCAAGTGGAACCCGTATGTGGTCATAAAAGCGGACATATTCATGCAAGAACGTTTGATCCTATGCAGCGTTGCGTTGGAAGTCTAAACTCCGGCCGGCTGGTTGCTACCCCGTAATACAGCGATGATAATGAAAAAGGGCCTTAATGACCTCCCTGTCACATTGGACAGGTGATTGAACGGGTAGAATTAGCCTTTTACTTTTATTATCTCAAAAGAAAAGAAAGAAAAAAAAGAAGGGCAACGGCCTTGAGATTGCTCTGTCATCGGACTCACCAGCCAGTTGGCCCTGGGGCCCGGACCGATGAGCATCGTGTACAACGATGTGTGGCACGAATGCAAAGAAAAGGACCCAAACGAGAAAAACAAAAATCAGTCTGACATAGACATCATGACAGTATAACCTCTAGCGCCGGGGAAAAGGCAAGGAAACCAACGTCCCATTGCAAAAAACAAAAAAAACAAAAAAAACAAAAAGGCAAGGAAACCAACTGCCCTACAATGACTCCGTCTGGCACGGCGCGTTGGACTGTCAGTGCACACACACGACACGATCTCTGTCTTCTTCCACGGGAGTCTCAATATGCTCTTTTTTGTTTTTCTTTTTTCTTTTTTTTTTAAACCGGCCCCTGTGCCCAAGGCTGATATTTCCAATATAGTCCTTCGGGACATTCATAAATCGAGCAATGGTCCCAAAAAAAAAAAAATAATAATAATAATAATAATAATAATAAAAAATCCAATATAAGGATTGAGGCCGGGGTCCTCACAGTCTACCCGGAGTAACAGAACATAATTTGCTGAGGACCAAAACAGAACCTGCTGAGAACCGGGCTCAGCGTCCCATCTCCTATAAAAATTGTGAAAACTGTGAGAAACAGAACATGCTGAGAACCTGGCTCAGCATCTCAATCCCTATGAAACCTGTGAAAACTATGAGATACCTCTACTTATATCTTAAACCCGCTATGCTGCTCCCTTTATGCTTGTAAAGGTGCTACTCTAGCCTTGAGGATATAGATGCCTCTTCGGCCATAAAATCTGACCGCCAAATAAGGGTGATTTATCTAGCATCCATCTCCATAGATCGCCCACTTATCATCTGCCCTTCCTCTCCCCCCCAAACCACTCAAGATCCACCAAAGCAAGTGTAGAGGGAGTGAATCTCAATATGCTCTATTTCTGCACATGAAAAAAAAAAAGAGTCCTCCGGGACATCCCTTGAAATTGGAACGATACAGAGAAAGAAGATTATTAGCATGGGCCCGCCGATTAGCATGGGCGCACCGATTAGCATGACATGCTTAAATCGAGAAATAGTAAAAGCAATGGTCATAGAGAGAGGATAAGGTGGATACACATTGAGCTAGGAGCTTTTTTTCCTTAAAAAAAATAAAATAAAAAAAAATTGGAACGATACAGAGAACGAAGATTATTAGCATGGGCCCGCCGATTAGCATG